ATCTATCTATCTATCTATCTATCTATCTATCTATCTATCTATCTATCTATCTATCTATCTATCTATCTATCTATCTATCTATCTATCTAAAGTTCAATATTGGACATCGGCCATTCCATTAAAATAACTCGCAGATATAATGGTGAGGATGTCAGATTCCAAAGATTTATGGACTATGCTGAACCTCGCTACATCGTCCCCAGTCGGAGATATTTTTCCATCATAACATTATCCGAGCTACAAGCCGTCCTTTCTGACATCATTGAGATGCTAATAGCCGATATCATGACTTGGGCTGTCGTTAGGATGTCGTTTTAGCCCTGTTAGCATGATTTTTCTTACAGCACAATGAATAGACAAAAAATTTGAATTTAAAAAGGCTGTCCTTCATGCACAAGAGTGAAGAGGATCCCACAGAGGATTCCACACTTCAGCTAGGAACCTGGAACAAGCCTCCACAAGTGCGACAGCATCGCAGCTGACTAATGCTAATAAATAACATTTAACACTTTTCAATAAATATAAGTCAAAGGGGAGTGGTGGTGCAGAGGTTAGAGAAGGTGGGCCTGTGATGGGAAGATCGCTAGTTCAAGCCCCGGTACAGACAACATCAAAAAAAAAAAATGCGGGTGGGGTAGGTGAAGCACCCACACCTGCTCCCACCCTCATTCGTCCCACTCTGGGCCCTTGAGCAAGGCCCTTAACCCCCACCATCTGCTCCTTCAGGTGTCCTAGATAGCAGCTCTCTGCTCCACACAGAGGACTGTGGTAGCCTGGTGGTCTGTGGTTGTGTCAGGAAGGACATCCGGCATAAAAATAACTGCAAAGTCTTTGTGTGACTTAGTTTGCTGTGGTGACCCCTGAAGAAGGGAGCAGCCGAAAGAAGAAAAAAAAATAATAATATGTCAAAGGGCTATGCACATCAAATGGCTGTTATTGAATATATGTCACCAGCTCTTACAGCTGCTGCACAATTTTTGCAGCAAATAAGCCTAAATAAGAGGGCTATGTTCTGACAAAGGAATGTAGATAAAATATCAGTATCGGCATCGGTTATCAGCCAAATAAGTTTTAACATATGGGCATATCGGATATCGGCCAAAAATATCGGCCAATATCATGCATCCCTCATATATATATATATATATATATATATATATACATACATATATATATATATATATATATATAT